GGCCGGCCGCCGCGGTCTCCAGCGCTTTGCAAGCCTGCGGAAGCCCTCGCAGGACGACAGCGGCTGGCGTCGCCGCGGCGTTGGTTTTGTCCGGGGGCTGACCCGGCGTTGGCTGCGGGCACAAGCCCTCGGAGCTGCGTGCTGGGGTTGGAGGGCCAGTCTCCGGTTCCTTGCCCAAGGTGTTTCCCACTGGAAATGCAAAGCTACTGCTTTAGGTACCTGAAAATTGTTGGCTAGTTCTTGCACAGAATGTAATGCTTAGCTATAAAAACGGAGCACTAGAGCTGCACCTTCAGTCTGCAATTAAACATTTCAACAAACAAGCAGTAATTTCCAGGGGTATGTAGTTCTGCACTCAAACCACATTTAGTGCTTTTGCAAATTACTTGAAAGACGGCGCATACAGAAGAGGGTTGAAAAAAGAATCATTATTAAGGCTACGAAGCTCGGATCACACTGTTTATCACACAAGCCGTCTCTTGGGTTTTTTGCTCTGCGTTTTCTGTGTTTCGTGGGTGAAAACCTCAGGCAGTCTGAGGAAGACAAAGCCACAATCATGCTCAAAGTTCCAAGTCCATCCAGTTGGATCGAGTTTCAGCCAGTGGGCTGAGGCAAGTGGCCATTCCCCCTGGCTGATGCAGATGAGCCCACACCTGCACCACTGGATCCTGTTTGGGTAACCCAGTACAAGGAAGACATTGTTATACAGGAGCCCAGCTGAGGCCATTGAGAAAGGGAGCTTGAGCATAGGGCAGGCTGAGGGAATCGGGTTTGTTCACCTGGAGAAGAGAAGGCGAGCGTGGAGTCCAACTTGCAGTCCTAAAGAGGGTTACAGAGAAGATGGAGTTGGGATCTTCTCTGACGTGCATCGTGGTGGGGCAAGAGGCAAGGAGCAAAAGCTGCGATGAGGAAAAGTCTGGTTGGACATAAGGAAAAACCTTCTTCCCGTGAGAGTGGGGCAGCCCTGGGTGGGGACCAGAGAAGGTGGGATCTCCAATCTTGGAGATGGTCAACACTTTGTTGGAAAAAGCTCTAAGCAGTCTGGTCAGAGTTAGCCACGCTTTGAGCAGGGGTTGGATTCAAGATCTCCAGAGATCTCTTCCCACTTAACTTTTTCTACGGTTATATGATTTCCTGGTGAAACAGGAGAGCCAGGCCAGCTGGTGGAGCACTGCTGAGCCCAGCTGGGCACACAGCTGCAGTCCATGGCAGCCCTGGCAGTATTAGAGGCTGTTTATTTAAATGGTGAACACAGAACAGGAAGGATCAGAGCTAACACGCTCTGAGCAGGAAATGGTGGCCAAAGAGGGAGTGTGTATTTGCTGTCACCAGGATTTACTGCTTAAAGTCAATATTGGTAAATCAACAAGAAAGTTTTCTTACCTTTGCAAGACCAGGCTCTTGCGGGATGGAATGGCTTTTCATTGACCTCTGGTGGGTGGCCTCTGGCTCTATGTTGCTGGCCCACTTCTTTCTGCTCAGGCTTAGCTATGACTTCACTTCTGCTAAGGACCAGAAAACCCTCCCAGCTCAAAACATCACCCATGAGCAACACAAATCACCCTTGACTTTCTGCAAATGCGAGGTACCCAGTTTCACAAGAGCAATTTGAGAAGCGGGAAGCCCGGGTACACAAACCAAAAACCCTCTCTTCTCCCATAGAGCTGGAAGCATGTTTCCTGGAAGGATATTGAAAGTTATATTGAATGATATTGGCAGTGGACAGAGGAGAGTCTGTTTTTCCTGGATATGATGTCAGCTTCCCTTTCCTTAACTGTCCTGTCATGGCTGTTAGCCCTCAGGCTGGCTCCCCACGCTCTGCAGGACATGGGGACAGGACCCGTGGCCCTGAGATGAGCTCACAGCAGCGTGGTCAGCCCAGCCCAGTTCACATTAACAAACACCAAGCTGAATCTCACGAGTGAGGAGACAGTCATAGTCGTTGTACCCACTGCATATCACAGCATGCCTGCCTTGGTCTGCATGGCTCAGGTAGCAGGTCAGAGTGTCCTGGAAGAGCCTCACATAGCCCTTTCACCAGTACAGCACAGCAAGGAGGAGAGCATTGTGTTGGGCACTGACCCAGCTCCCCAGATATCTCTCTGGGGCTCAGGAAAGAGGGAAGGGAGGGAGAAGGTGATGTATTGCATCTGCAGAACAGCAGTCTCCCTCCCCTAGATACAGCTGCCCTTGCCAGCCCATCCCCAATTCCATTCAGACAGCAGGACCTACCTCAGGGATGCACATGGACCCCCATGTGTCTAGCTTTGCACCTGAACCCCATCCGCATAAGCAAGAGCTCTGTTATCTGTCCTCTTGGCAGAGAAAGAAACAGTGGGTTTCAAATGAAAGTGCTGATAAGGTCTTTATCTGTCCCTTGGTTATTCTGTGATAAGATTTGTTGCTTGCAGGCACACCTTTCTTACCGGCTGCAAAAGAAGCCAGTTAGAGTGAGAGCAGCTCTAAGACAGAGCATGCGGTACCTGGGGTGACTCCAGGACTTCGTGGCCACCAAAGGCATCTCCGCAGAGATGGACAGAGGTGCTCTCTCTGGTTCCTGTGAGCCTCTGCCCACGGGGAGCTCCCCAGCCCTCGCAGCACAGGACCGGCACCAGTGCCCATGTGTGTTTCAGCAATGAGCATTGCCCCATGTTCATGGAGATGTCACCGTGCCAGGCCTTCACCACCTCCTACAGCTCCACTTCAACACCAGAGAAGGGCGGACGTGGTTGTTTTGTGCCTTCCTTGACTGATGGGGGCTGTGAGATGAGTCTAAAGCCTCCCAGAAGTTGCTTCTCCCCAAAATCTAAAGAGCTCTGGGAACCAGGCAAGCCTAAATGTCTGCAGACATGGAGGTGGGCAGCACGGCTGATTCCCCTTCCCTGTGAGCACTGCAGAGGGTTGGAGAGCTGGAAAGAGCCACCAGCTCTTGCTGGCCTCCACCATGGCACATGTGGGGCTCTGCCAGGAAGAAGGGTCTCCTGGCCTGCCTGGCAGCAGCAGCCCCTACAGCCCAGCCTCCTTGCAACGTGGTGCGGACACCACACTTGCAGAAGGTCCCCAGCACAGCTTTTGTGATGGTGCTCAACCATAACATGGCCTCCTGCCTCTGGCTCCCCTTCAGGCCAGTGCAGCCTCAGCTGTCGTCACCCAGTGTCTTGGTCTGGGGTCAGCATCCTCCCTGGTTACAGCTCCCTCCATGCTACAGGCCTTCCACGAGGCCCTCAGCTTATGCCATAAGTATCTGCAGTTATGAACAAGGTTTGGGTAGTTCATGGCAGAAGGTGAGAGATCTTGCTCTGCTCCCACCAGTATCAGTCACTCAAGGGGAGAGCGCAACCTTGCATTAGCTGAGACATCTGTGGAGACCAAAACAGTGCCAGGACACCTCTGTAGGGAGACCTGTCCCTCCAGGAGCTGCCCGTGGGGAATGGGCTGCAGTTGCTTGGTTATGGGGCTGCTGGATGCTTTCTGCTTTGACACCCACCAGGTGCATTAGAGCTTCTGGCAGTGTAACTGCAGAGGTCATCCCAGGATTTTGGGGTGGGGAGGCTGAGCTAAGCACTTGTGAGTGCTTGCCCCTCATGTGATGTCCCTGGAACCAAAGCAGGGGTGGATGTCAGTGATGTCCATCCTGTCACTGGAGAGAGAGTGTTACTGGTGTCACCAGTGAGATGTCACATCTGCTGAGATGCATGGCCTGCAGGGCTCTGGGACAGCAGCAGCGACACCTCCGGAGACACCAAAAGTCCATAAATTCCCCAAATCGAGGGTGACCTCAGGGCCTGGCAAGCCCTGCGCTCTAGGAGACAGGCCCTTGGTAAGTCAGATAATGGCAATGGAGACCTCCACTCTAAGGGGAGAAAGACTCTCTGTGTCAGGATATTACAGGAACGTAAGACAGCCACCACCCCTGCCACGCACAGGAGAGAAGATCACAAGACCCAAAATGTGGGAAGAGAGAGAGGGCGCCCATTCCTTCCTGGCATCAGAAGTCGTCCTGGGTGTGTGGCTGGGGAGCCGGGGACGCAGCAGCTGTGCAGAGTGGCTCCTGTCTTTGCCTCAAATGGCATTTCCCTGACAAAAGTGTATGGTTCAGCCAAGTTTCAGCCTGTCGCACTCAGCTGTTTTCAACCATCTTTTGTTTGCTTAACGCGGCGGCTCAGCAAGGTCGAAGTGAGGCTGCCCAGAAATTGAAAACAAAATGCTTTCCAGGCTTTAGGAAAGCAAGCTGTTTACCGGGGAGGAAAACAGACTGTGAGAAAAACCTTCAGACTGAAGATAATAACACAAGGGACTGTAGGGTTTATCAGGTGCAGGAAGAAGCCCCAGCCAGGCAGCTCCAGTCAGCTAAAAATCACGGTGGGTTTCAGCTTCGCAATGCCACTTGCATTTCGACAAATCAGAAATGCGTTTCAGAAATGTGGATGGATGCTGGTCTGTACACTTAAACTGCGAAATGGTGGGGCACCATGCAGCCCTCCGTGGGACCACCACCCAGGTGAAACAGCCCTCCAGCAGAGAGGGCAGGAGGGCTCATGAGCCGCAGGCAGCAGACAATTCCCAAAGGACTGCCTTTGCTCAAGCAACCGTGTTCCCCCTCACTGTAACCTGAAAGAAGCATAGAAAGAGGAGTGACCAGGAGAGTGTGCGCTTTATTACTGACAAGGAAGGAGCTGGTCAAAATCACTCTGCAGTACCTATCAGAGTTTGTCAGGCAGCAGTCAAAACATTAAAAAGAAATACCAAACAGAAAGCTAAAATAGAACGTGTGTGCTGTATTCATTATCCTCGTTGTCATTTTCCAGAGGAGTATTCAAATCTTCTGGTATTTCTGCTTCTGCTGGTTTCAGCACCTCCTCTTCACCTACAAGGCATGTAAGAGACAGATTATTTCATATTGGGAGGCTTTCGTGCGTTACCCCTCCATGCTGCGCTAAAGCCCCCACGGCCAGGCTCCTGTGATTGCCTGTGATGTTAGGTAGCCCCCGGTAGTCTGCCTGCTTTTCAAAGGACACAGCAGTCCCAGGGGTTGTGGAGGGGAGTTGGAGAGGGTAAAGCCCCAATGGGTTTAAAGGCAGGAGGCAAATAAATGGAGCCCTGATGCTTGCCCATTTCAAGATCTCAGAGCTGGACCGCTGTGATGTGCCCCAGTCAGCCCCAGTCCCCAAGATGCAGAATGGTTGTTTTCCATGGCATGAGGGCATTGCACGCCTTGCAGCGAGAGGCCTCTTCTTCTCCCCTGGCACAGACATTGCTGGAAATGCAGTAATCGGGGGTCAGAGGATGCTCACCTCCTCTGAAGCAGATCCTATGTTTTCCTGGTTTTGAAGCAATCTGCATGCTTGGCCCACTGACCGCTAAAGTAAATGTGCTCTCCTCTTCCCAAGCCAGATCTGGGAGCAACTCCTGCTGGCCCAAGCTGCGTTAGCTGTAAATGGATTTCCCGAGCCCAGACGGCAATCTGCCATTCAGAGCAGGTTAGTGTCCTCTGTGCCTCAGTCCTGGCAGGTCCCAAAGGGGTAGTCCCCTGCAGACACCCACCCCTTGCCCTAGTGCCCACCTTTGTCTCCCCCCCACCCCAGTGTCAGCCCTGAAACTGGGTGGACTGTGGACTGTGGGCTGTGCCTGGGCTTTGGCTCTCCCTGACCAGCTCTGGTCTCAAGAGACCGCATCTGCTCTCCACAGCACCTCTGCCCTAACCTGGCTTGTGGCAGAGCCACATAGGTGTCCTTAGGACAAGGAGCTATTTAGGACCAGGGACCACAGACCCCATGCCAATGACTCTACTGACAGTAGTGGGCTTCTTATCACTCCCCATGACTTGGAGAGCAGTATCTACCCCCACAGCCCCAACATTCCCCCCCACCCCTTTCACAGCTACCCAAGTCATGCTTAGTGGGGTAGGGACCTGTGCTGTAGTGGTGCCGCAGGCTGGTAGTTGATAAGGTGGGCAACCTTGGCTGACAGTCCTCAAGAGGCGGCACTGCACCACTCCCCAAGCCCCCATGAGGCCACCGGCTCTCCAGCAGCTCACCTGCAGGATCCTGGCTCCTGGCTGCCAGCTCCCCCTCCGCCGCTCCCGGTTGCATCCCACTGACCAGGTCCTGCATGGTCAGCACGGGCGGCTGTTCTTGATGCAGTGGCTCCGGCAGAGCCAGCTTGGAGGGCGCTGGCTCAGCCTCCTCCTGTGGGTCAAGCTGAGGGTCTGGCTCTGGTTCTGGCTCCGGGCTGGGCTCCACTGCCGGCTGGTGGCCCCGTCCTCGCCTGGCTCCTCTGCCTCTCCTTTGCCGTTTGTTCTTCTGCTCCCTGCCAGGGGATTTCACAGGGGTGAAGAGTTGGGCGTGGGGCGGAGGACTTTCCTTCCTGCCTCGAGGCCCCTTTGCCAGGCCCCTGGCTGTGACTGCAACCCAGTCATCCCAGCAGAAGCTGCACTTCTGCAGCCCTCCTCCCCAGCCCCACATGGCGGCCTCTTGTAGCCGCACCAGGGGGGCGGGAGCTTGGGCACCAAATTTTTCCCCGGCCCCACACTGTGGTTGAGAATTGCTTGCCATCCAACCCACCACCTATGTAACCCACCCCCCTATCCATCTCTGCCCCCCAACGCCTGCCTAGACCTTCAGCAGCTACCAGCTGCAGGTCACCTGTCCCCACTGAAGACTGATGGGGCCCAGCTCGGCTCTGTCCTTGTGTGAAGATGGAGGGGCTGGGCTGCCATGCCTGGGCTCAGGTTAAATGCACCAAGAAAATGACTCCACAGCATAAGCAAGATTTACCTCAGAACCCACTGAATTGAGTCTTTCTCCTGGGCTTCTGCTTTTCTTTTCCGGAGCAGCTCCCGGTCCCTCAAGCGGTGGGTGATGATGACATCTACAACGACAAATTGAGTGCTAAAATGACAACCTGTCCAAGGAACAATTCGATCCCTCCCTGCCTGGTGACAGAGGCAGGGTGACACTGATGCAAGAGGCCATGTTCTTTTTGTCATGAAGTGGGTCTTGATAGGAAACTGCTTGGGTGCTGTACTTCCAGCTCAGCCTCAGTGGGTAGGATCCAATGATATACCACCCAAAGCTCCCAGGCTCCTGCACTGAAAGTTACTCTAAATTTCTAACTGCGGTTTTCTTCCTGCTGCTGCAGCTTTGGGGTGACCCTTGTCCAACCTACTCACCACTGTAGGGACCTGGGGCCTGACGGAAGCATGGGGCAGGCTTCCCGTGCCATGAGGACACCAGGAAATCCCTTGGCCAGACTTCACTACAGGCTGCAAGATAAATTTTTGTGTTTTCTCTGTTGTTATCCTTTTCCCCAGATAGCTGCAACTGGCCACTGCTGCGATTAAGATGCTCATCTAATTAACTAACTAAGGAGAAAGCCTTGCCTTGCAGGATAGCCAGCCCTACAACATAGGAACAGGTCTGTGGGGGTGAGGGGGTGAGCCAGAGGACACAGGCTTTCCTGTACACAGATGCTCATGTGTATTAGGCTGAGACCCTGTAGGGAATGGTGCCCCAACCAGAGACCAGAACAGGGCTAGTATACACTGCTGGGGCTGAGGAGACTGGTCCCAAAGACCACACAAGCAGCCCCAAGCTGGTCTGCAGCTATGAAGATGACCATGGCAGGGCTGAAGATTGACTCATGAGAAAGCTCCAATGCTGACTTCAGCATTTGGGCAAGATATGCAGGTTACCTACAGCTACCAGGAGAAAGGGGCACCCCCCGGGTCCCAGTCACCCTGTGCAATGCCTTCTTAGGCCAAGGTAAGTTGTGCCCATTTCACTGGCTGCAAAGGGCTCCAAATGGCTTCCTGAGGCAAAGACATCTCAGCCATCTACACCTGGGTGAATGAATTCCTGAACTTTTCTGAAGCCAGCACTGAACTTCCTCCCCCATGTCTTTGTCCTAACAAACAACATTCCTGATGATATGGCAGTAGGTCTTGTGGTTTCTGATCCAGTCAGCACTGAATTTTCTAGCTTGGACTCCAGCCTGTGATAAAAAAGATGTGGCTTAGATCAAGTAGCACGAGACTGCTCCCTTAAGACGAAGGGCATTGTTCAGGAGCAACAACAGTTCCCTGGGGCCTGGAGGGAGCGGGGACTCTTCCCACGCGTACACTGAAGAGGTCACAAAAGCGCTGATTTTCATAGTTTCAACAAAACCCACACAATGAAAAAGCAAAACTATGACCCTCTCCTTCCAGATGTAATCAGATCCAGCTTCTTCCACAAAAGCCTCAGCTTACACTAAAGTATTAGGTCAAATCGGTGAAGAATGGTCATTTTGTCATTCCCTTGTCCAGCTGGGAGAACTGGCAAGGTGAAAAGGACTTCCAAGGCTGAGCTGGGACTACAGCTCCTGTATCCCAGATGTCTGTTAAACACAAGAAAAACCGTAATCCAGGACAGAAAAAAGCAAAACTGACAGGAGGAGCCAACCTCTACCCAAAGTAGATCTTTACACAAGACACTTCTGATAATTAATAATAATCTTGCAGAAATTTAGCTTGGAAAGGCTTTCTGTTGGTCTCTGTTCGAATGTCCTCATCAAGGCAGGGCCAACTTTAAAATTACATCAGGCTGTCCAGGACCTCGTCCAGGGAACTTCGGAATACCTCAAAGCCCACCTCTCTGGTCTCCGCACCACTCTCACTGTTAATTTTTTTTCCTTTCTAACCAGCCATGTTTGCAACCTGGACCTGGTGCCTCTTGTCCTTTCCCTGTGCACCCCTAAAAAGAGTCTGGCTCTCCCTTCTCTGTAACCCCTGTTAGGCAGAGGATGACTGCAATGAGGTCTCTCTCTCAGCCTTCTTTTCTCCTGGCTGAACAAGCCTGGTTTCCTCTGCTTGTCCTCATATGTCATCTGCTCCAGCCTTTAGCAGTCTTGATGGCCCTGCACTGGACTCATCGCAGTATGCCTTTGACTTCCCTGTGCTGAGTTGCCCAAATCTGGACATAGTATTCTAAGTGCTGTCTAATAATAACAACAGCCACCATCACAACCATGAAATAAAAAAATAATCCTGCTTTCTGTTGTTGACTATTAGTTTTTCTGTTCTTTTATTGCCCTTTTTTGTCCAGTAGTTCCAGGAGCCCCCTTTGCTCTGAGCACAGCAGAGCCATACAGGAGAAGACGGCTCCTCTCCTAAAAAAATTCCAGCCCAGACCAAAGAGAAGGGGCACAGCAGGATGCGATACAGATGTGAAGGCCACATGCAACAACAGTGCCAGAGTTTCTCAGTCATGGCAGGGGCATCTCAGCATGACCAGAGATGGTGTCAGCCTCTGACATGAAAAACACCGTGCTTGGACTGCACAATGTACAGCTGAGTAGATGTTCCTCAAATGGGAGGCTGTTCCCTGATGTAAAGCAGTATCAGAGGCAGCAGGGCACAGTCAGCAGGAGATGACTCTGCCATCCACATAGCAAAAGGCAGGAAGCTGCCTGGGAAGATGAGGTTACAAGTTGCAGTAGCAGGATCTGCACAGGGCTTCAGTTTAACTGCTGAAGTACATAATCCTTTGCATGTCCCTTTTTGGCCAAGGTAACTTTCTTTCCCTTTCAAAATGTCTTGTGAGCCATAAAAGCATTTTTAGCTGCCTGCAATCAGTCTCCTTCCCAACCCACCCTAAGCAAATTGTTTTGCACAGGTAGCAAACACCACTCATTCACTTCTAACTGGTCCCAGAGAGCACTCCCACAGCTGCTCCAAAGCTGTCTGTCACCTGCTAGCACTAGGCAGGAAAGATCACAGTAAACATCTGCATCCTGATGAAAAATTATTTAGCAGAGGACACAAAGATACAGAGATGAAATGAAAAGAAAAAAAATCCATCAAGCTAAAAGAACAATGAGACAGTATTGCCAGTCTGCAAACAGACAATATATTGATGCTGCCTGAGGGACTTCGTCTGAGTTGAAAAGCCTTTATAGGTGCTTCTGCCTTTGTGATCTGAAACACAACATGGAAAAAGCCACATATATTTGCAGTTAAATGTGCATCCTCCATCCCCCAAGCATAAACTGGTAATTATTAACTCCTTTTTTAGAAACCACTGGTGACAAAGATCATTCTCTTCTCTCACTGAAAACGCATGTTAAGAGTGGTCTTATCGTTACCTGGCACAGCATACTCCTCACGGGCTGCAGAAGGTGGCAGGGAAGAGTCCGAATGAGCATGGTCTTTGCCTAAACTCTCCATTGCTCTTTGCAGTTTTAAATAGAAAGCAGCTCAATTCCCTGGGAACAGCATCTGGAGATACTGGTGCAGCATAATGAGAGCTTGAAAAAAATGCAGACTGCCCGCCCAAAACCTCTTATCTGGCCAGGCCACTAGTATGGTAATAATATTCTCCTTATCAGAGTGCAAAGGTGCACGAGTCTCTGCCCAGGATCTACCGTGTGGATTGCAAAACATGTTAGTGCTTTTATACAGCAAGTATTTCTACTTCAGATAGGAAATTTACACTCGCTGCTGCTACACTGTGACTCAAATAGCCTCCTTTATAGTAGAGAGGAGCTGCACGGCAGGGCAGGATGCAGCACTGCCTCGCTGCTCGTTTCCAGAGTGAGATGCAGGGAGGTGTTGTTAGTCCTTGAGGACCCCTTGTGAGGTCTGAAACAGGACATACACTGTTTGAAAGGTGTTTTCATAGGACCCTAGCAGCGCTGGTGGGAAGGGACCTCCATCTCCCCTCTGGTCCCCCTCACAGCAGGACTGTCTGCTGCATGAGGTCAGGGCAGCTGTGGCATCATATTCTTTGGAAACGCCCAAGCCAAATTCATGACGCCTGTCCAAGGGCTGCACCACATTCCTTGGAAATCCAGACGGAATAATGAATCCATACCAGGACTCCAGGCAAGGGCCTGTGCACGTTGAGGACTTCCCAATGACTCGTTGGTCCAGTACCCGGTGGATCAAGGCTATGAGCAAAGCACTTCCCTCATGAAGCAGGATGGCAATGGGCAGCCCCAGTAAAACCAATGGGAAGACCCAGCTAGTCCCTTGCTCCCGCAGGGGGATATCCCTTAGTGGTTGCTCCTAGCTCCCTGTTGCCCATTGCACAGCATGCAGGCTCACACAGCCTCTGTAGGACCATATTCGGGGCCAGTATAGCTGCAAAGGGGAAGCTTCTGCTTGGTACAAGGGCTTCAACCCTGAGATCCTGCTCCCTGCTCTGCGATCTGTATGGCCAGGCCTTGAGGTCAGTCTGCCTCAGTTTCCTGCATGTGAGATAAGGTGGGAATCCTGGCCTCCTCTGCAAACTGCCTTCAGAGTTTCTCATGCCCGGATAGCGCAGAAAAGCTTAAGATTATACCTGTGCATAACAATTCTGCTGGACCAGGGACACGTCACCACTTCGGCCAGTTTCTAACACATTCAGTCCATAGTATTTGGGATTCAGCTTCTACCACCACTTCTCTCCATGGGATACTCAGCTGCTTATGCTCTGGTGAAGTGCTAGTGCCTGTAACACCACCCCACCCACCCCCCAAATGAATTCAAAGTGGCTCCAAGGTTGTTAGAAATCCTCTGGGAATTGCTCGCCCTTCGTGGCATGGATGATCCCACCTCCTTGTGCAGTCCCAAGACTTGCCCTGGAGCGGAGCAGCTCCTCGGGGTGAGCAGATCTAGCCTGCCTCCAGCCCTTGCCAGGCTTTTTTTTTTTTTTTTTAATGTACAGCCTTTGCTCTCTGCAGGTTCTCTTTCTAGGTCTCTAGAAACTCCAGAGTTTGAAATTTCATGAGTGTGGGTTTCTTAAGACGTAACCTGGGGGTCCGTGGTCATTTGTGCTGCCTTTCTGCTTATCCCTTGAGTTACCACTTTGCTCTAGGGCTCCTCCCGTGTGTCCATGGAAGATTATAGGATACCTCCAGATAGGTGGGGCAGGTTTAACAGCCCCAAAAGAAGCAGCAGGGTGGTGGCAGCAGAACAGATATGGGAAGGCTCTGATACGGGAGGGTGGGCCAGGAACATGGATGGCATAAAGAGATGTGAGGCTTCCACGTCTTTCACAGAGGAGTTTCCTGTAGCTCAGTCACAAGTGAAGGCAAGGTCTCCCATGCTGGTGAGGGTGTCCACGTTCCAGCACTGTGTGATGCTGCACGGCCCTGGCGTGACCCTGCCTCATGCAGACATCCTGAAAACTGTACCTTGCAGGATGCTCTACCATGCAAAGACAGTGGTTGGGGAGGATGAAAACATATCACACCTCGAATACTGTGTTCAGTTTTGGGCCCCTCACTACAACAAAAATATTGAGGTGCTGGAGTGTGTCCAAAGAAGAGCAACAAAGCTGGTGAAGGGTCCAGAGCACAAGTCTTCTGAGGAGTGGCTGAGGGAACTGGGGTTGTTTAGCCTGGAGGAAAGGAGGCTCAGGGGAGACCTTACGCGCTCTACAACTACCTGAAAGGAGGTTGTAGCAAGGTGGGTGTTGGTCTCTTCTCCCAACTAACAAGCGATAGGACGAGAGGAAATGGCCTCAAGTTGTGCCAGATTGGATATTAGGATATTAGGAAAAATTTCTTCACCGAAAGGGTTGTCAAGCACTGGAACAGGCTGCCCAGGGAAGTGGTTGAGTCACCATCCCTGGAGGTATTTAAAAGCCATGTAGACGTGGCGCTTATGGATATGGTTTAGTGGTGGACTTGGCAGTGTCAGGTTGACGGTTGGACTTGATGATCTTAAGGGCCTTTTCCAACCTAAATGATTCTATTCTATGATTCTATATGTCTGGCCATAGAGGGACATCACATCTGGAAGCGCTCTTACAAAGCGCTTGACATATTCTGGGCTGCTTGCAGGTGATATGAAACAAGGAAGAAAGGGTGGAAATCCCTGGGTTTTTCAGTGCTCCATGGGAACTGGGTGCGTGCTCAGGCTGTGGCTAACTCAGCTTCTCACACCCCACATCTACTCAGTCACTCCAAAGCCTGGTGAGGTCTGATAACCCACTCTTGACTCAGCAAAACATTGCCATGTGACACTGCAGAGCTGGTACTGTCAATATTTCTCCATTCCAGCCATCTTCTAGCTGGGTAGAAACCAATAAATCTGTAAAGGACATTTGTAAAAGGAAGAGTTGCTGTGCCCTCAGAGTCTTCAGGGGTGCTTAATGGACTAGATGGGCTTTAAAATCTTACAGAGCCTGTGCTTGCACCTCTCAGGACAGACATCCCTGTAAAGATTTGGCTCTTGTGTGTGAATTACTTTAAATCCCAAGGAGGTGATTTTATTATTCCATGGGAAGGCTTTGGTGATGGATAACAGTGTGGAAATTACAGAGTCTACCGCCTAGCTTTGAGTTGTCTCTGCTCTGAAGTGGAGGCACTGAGAGGCAGAGGCTTGCCCACAATGCCAGGGGCACTGGGCTCATTTTAGAGCCCAGAACTGCCTCCGTGTCCCCCACCAGCACCAGCAACACAGCAGACTCTTCTTCTCCAGCAGTGCTCTGTAGCAGATGTGGCCAAAGCTGCATCCTCTTTGCTATGGATGAATTTGTGCAAGTAGGTTAAACTTTCTGGCCAGTCTCGGTTGCACAAACTGTTGCAGCTGGACACTTTACAGTGTGCCAGGCGCTGCTTCCCTTGCCTTTCTCTCCACATTTCGGTTCAGCTAGCCCTGGGCCACCTTCACTGATTGTGCTGGTTTTGGCTGTGGTCAAGTTAATTTTCTTCATAGTAGCTAGTATGGGGCTCTGTTTTGGATTTGTGCTGAAAACAGTGTTGATAATACGGGATGTTTTTGTTATTGCTGAGCAGTGCTTACACAGAGTCAAGGCCTTTTCTGCTTCTCACACCGCCCCACCAGCGAGTAGGCTGGGGGTGCACAAGAAGCTGGGAGGGGGCACAGCCAGGACAGCTGACCCCAACTGACCAAAGGGATATTCCATACCATATGACGTCATGCTCAGCATATAAAGCTGGGGGAAGAAGAAGGAAGGGGGGGACATTCGGAGTGATGGCATTTGTCTTTCCAAGTCACCGTTACGCGTGATGGAGCCCTCCTTTCCTGGAGATGGCTGAACACCTGCCTGCCGGTGGGAAGGAGTGAAGGGATTCCTTGTTTTGCTTTGCTTGCACAAGCAGCTTTTGCTTTACCTGTTAAACTTCTTTATCTCAAGCCATGAGTTTTCTCACTTTTACTCTTCTGATTCTCTCCCCCATCCTACTGCGGGGCAAAGTGAGCGAGCGGCTGTGTGGGGCTTAGTTGTCAACTGGGGTTAAACTGCCACACTGATGCATCCAGTTTCCTAGGTGAGGACCTGGAGGAGCTCAACGAGGTGTCCGGCACCCTGAGCAGCTCCAGTGTCACAGACTCCTCGAGTGTCACTGGAGCTGCTTGGTAGGGAAACATGCCCAACCTTGGGTACATCTCACCATGCCAGTCCCCCCCACGGCTTTCACTACCCAAAAACCCTGGGAATGCTTTGTCCAAGGGACAGATGGACCTAGGGCTAGATCCCACTGCTGGGCCTGTCTCCTGCCCACTGTTGGGACTGCTGTCACTGCAGACTTAGCACCACCAGGCTTTGGATCTATGTATAAGTCAAAGCTCATTATGACCCTCAATGATATCTCTGTTTACCTATGTCTGGCATTGCTACTGCAAGGCAATATCCAGAGACCTGCTGTCTGTCTCCCCCTCCCTGCAGTCAGGGTTACAGCCCTGAACCCAAGGTTATCTGGGGGATCAACATGGGCAGCAGGGGGAACTACACTGCTGTCACTGTAGCAGGGTGTCAGGGCACTTCATCCAGTTTTGTTTTGCATGACGATGACAGAGAAGCGATTTTCAGGCTTGAGGTAAAGTTTGGGGGCAACTTGCCTGGTTGCAACATGCTTCTCTGGGCGCAGGACTACTAGTAGCTCTGTGTGACAAACTATGGTGCCTGTGAAAGCAGATAATCCCTTCCTCCCCCTGCCTTGACTGTGTAGATGGGATGGGAAACAGGTGGATAAATTCAACAGGCAAAACTGTATGCAAAAGTGCAAATTCATGTGCATAGCCCTGCCACAGACCAGTGCATTGTAGGCATCTTGCTGTCCACCAGCTGCCTCCTGAGTCTTGCTTGACCTTGCCAGACACAGATCTGCCAGACTTCACAGTCAGGTGCTCTGCACCAGGCTGGATCCAGCTGTCCTGCACCATCGTCCCTTGAGGGCTGTGGTGCTGTTAAATCACTCCCTTCGCCTCCCCTCAGTCTGCCACTTGCTCTTGAGCCGTGTGAAATAAACAGGCAAATCCACCAGTCCCCAGGGAGGACGGGTATCTCTGAATTTACTTCATGTAGAGTCAACACTGACCCTGTCCTGA